TTCTACTAAGAGGTGGCAAATGTCACCATGCACCCCTTCCATCCCTGGGCTGACTGTCTCCACCACAGAACAGCACGGTTCTTTAAGCATGGGACTCTGTGCTGTCATCAAGAGCAGTGTCCTGACTTGGGAAACAGGGAAGCACAAGAGGCTGAGGATGCTGTAGCCTTGATGAATCCTAGGGAAGTGTCTTTTGAGTCTCCCTGAGTATTGTCACCGTGTCTGTTGGGTCCTCTACTTGCTGAACTCCTTGTTGACATGGCATTGGGATTTTGAAATTATTATCTAGCTAAGTACTTGGAAGCATAGGAAAATGCAATTTAACTGTCTCCTGAGCAGAAAGGGCTGAGCTAGCTTGGGGCTGCTATCACCCATCCATCTATTCCATCCTCTGTCTCTCTGGCTTGCTCTGATTCCTCTGATGCTTTCTCTGTATTTCTCTGTCCCTCCCTCCCTCCCTCCCTCCCTTTCTTCTTTCCTTCCTCCTTATTTTCTTCTTAATTCTTCCTTCCTTCCTTGCCATCCATTCTAACCTTATAAACATCCATTCAATACATCCAGCCATCTTTCCATCTATCTAGGAATGTAACGTAACAGATAGACTTGGTCTGTATTGGGTTTACTGTTTGCTTAGCATCTAAGGCAAAGCCTTGTGCACACATGCATGCTATTTCATTTGTGCTGGGGATCAAGCTCACACAAAACACGGTACCACTGAACCACATCCACAGCCCAATATATAGGCTATATATTTAAATAAGTTGAGTACGTGCTTCAGATGAGCAAACCCACCAGTCTAGTCACCTCTTTCTCTACCATTCCTCCACCTCCATCTGGCATTTTCTTTCACTTATCAAATATTCCTAGTATATTCCTAGTGATAGACCAGGCATAGAAGTTACAGAAGACGTTGAGACATAGTATCTGTTTCTGAAGGCTTCCAGGTCTAGAGACTCTGGTGCATCTACAAGAGCCTTTTGGGACGAAGTGGCAGAAGATCAAAGAGGCACCTGGTTGTGGCAGTGAGGTTGGAGAGGCTGGCAGAAGTCAGAATTCTAAGGGTCTGGTTTCAGGATAGTCGGTGTGGCCTTGATTCTGAAGGCCAAGAGAAACAGCCAAGCATGGCTTGGTTAGATGTACACTTGAGAACAGGCATCCTGAGTCTGGAGTGGCATCTGAGGCCAGCAGAGAACTAGGGGGTTCTCTGCAGTCGTCCTCTAACTCCTCCTCTCAACTTGGCCACTCTCCTTGACACTTGCCACCATTTTGATCTCCAGGATACCCCCTTTCTCCTGTCTTCCCTCTTCCATTGTCCCCCCTCAACCTTCTCTGCTGACTCTTGTTCAGTTCTCCCATAAATGTGATCATTTCCAAGGCTCTGCCATCAGCCTCTTGACTATCTGCTTTTTGCTCTTGTCATCCTATCCCAGAATTCCAAGGCTAAATCCTTAGTGGTCCAGGTTATTCTCCAAAGTCTTGAGAATGTAGAAGTCTAAGGAGAGAAGGTGGATAAGAGTCATCTAGGGTGACTTGTGATGACTGGGTACCAGGAATCAGAAGGTCATGAACCCTCCACTATGACTCCCAGTAGCAGTGGCAGGTAGATCCAGTCACTAGCTAGGGATCCCAGAGAAGCAGATTCCAGACTGAAGAAGAGGAACCTAGATTGTGCCACGTTAAGCCTGATGTGCTCACAGGACATTTGGATAGAATCTTCCAGATATCTTCTAGTGTTTGGATCCAGTTAATAGATCAGCCAAGCCACAAGCAAAGATAGAGAAGGATGAATACCGTAGGGATGGATAAGATTTCCTATGTGCAAAAAAGAGAATTGGAAATGGGGTGGGCTGAGCTTCATGGACCCTGGAGGAATTGTAAACCAAGAGCCCTGAAATGATGGTGAAATGATGGTCTTCTGTGCTTCCCAGGCTTCTGGACTTTCTGAGTGGTTGGCGAAACAGATGGAGCCCTTGAGCTCAGTGCAACCTGTTATCATTACCTTGGTCTCGTCCTGTATCGTTGCTATAACCACAGAGTGTACAAGTAATGTGGCTACCACCACCCTGTTCCTGCCTGTCTTTGCCTCCATGGTAAGTAACTTGCTGGAGAAGGGAAGAACATTTCATGGGAAGTTGTGACCCCTTGACCATTTCCTGAGTCAGTAAAATTAGGATCCAAAGCCTCACCATGCTTGAAGACCCAGATATGGCCCTGGCTCTAATGTGGTCTTATGTACACTTGATGACTCTGGTTCTGAAGCCCTCTCTCACTGCTTTGTCCACTCTTCTTGGTATTTCTTCATCACTGCCTAAAGCATCAAGGGTGGACCTGGTGCTCAAACTTTAGTGTATCAGATGGTTTGGGAAATGGAGGCAGGATGGTTGCAGCTCTCACACACACACACACACACCCACACACACACACACCTATCATACCACCCAAAAAAGCCACACAACTATCATATTCATCACAACTAACTACCTGAGTTATGTTTCAAGATGGTGAGAAGAGGGCATATATCACAGAAAGAAGGCCAGGGGATATGGGACTTGAGAGTGGGATGCTTGGAGGAGAGGGAATGCCTGAAGACTTCCCAGGGAAGAGAGGGGTTGCTGGGATCTGAGACAGAGAATAGAGGCAATAGAGGAAGGGCTGATGAATGTTGGTTCCAAAGCAAGCTGGGAATTTAGGAGGAAGCAAAGCCTGTAGGGAAATCAGCTGTTGTCTGTTAAGTTCCCTCTGTCATCTGTTAAAAGTAGTTTTGACTTCAAGAAATTCAGGAAAAGCCAGATGACCTATGTCCCATCCTAGAGGTGTGCTGAGAGTCCCCAAACCATACATGAACCATAGAGAACCTGAATGAGGAAACCACCAAAGCTTTCCTGGAGAGGAACAGGAAAGGCTGTGGTTAGTCTGAGCTCAGAGACAGACTGACTCACAGAAGCTCTGAGCCTAGTGACAAAGTTGGTAAATTCCCATCCCAGCAGCCGGGGGCATCCAGTTCAAAAAAGCAAATCTGAATGGTTTTTCTTTCTATTCCTAGGGAAGACAGAAGTGTTTAAAATAGCAAGGGAAATGTCTTCTTCACTAAGCAGGCTGCCCACACAAGGAAGCAGAGAAGGAAGAGGTGGAGGAGGAGGAAGAGGGGGAGGAGGAAGAGAAAGGGAGGAGGAAGAAGACAGGCTGAGGAGGACAGGGAGGCAAGGGACCAGGAGTGGGGCAAGGAAGGTCTTCTGATTCTGGGCATGCAGTGGGAGCGCTCCTCTCTTAAGCAAATGCTCTGGCTTTGCCATCTCCTGTGAACCCTGTGAGCACAGATAGTCCCACCTGGGCCAACA